GACCGCGGGAAGGAGTGATCGAGGGGTTGGACCTCCCCTCTCTCCCCCCTACCCCGAGCATCACCCCTCGCCCGCAGCAAGCACTGCTCTCCCTGCCAGAGCAGTTGGCATCGAAGGGGAAACTTGTCCCCTAGCTAGTTTTTGGGGCCGGGCCACAGCAAGTTGATTGTGGTCATCTCCTCAGCAGGTAGGAGCAACTGCTGCAAACAGCGTTGGGCAAGCAGCCAGGTTCCAGTTTGAAGGTGGTGTAGTTCAGCAATGACACCTCCTCATTAAACCCTCAGTGCAGGCTTTTTTGGTGCTGCTGCTGCTGGTGCTCGCAGCTTGGAGGGAGATGATCTGTACCCCACATCTTTGCATCACCCCTGCCTCCCCAGAGAAGTGTTATGTTCCCCTGGGCAGGGAAAGGTGAGCATGTCCAAGTCATGCTCAGCATCTTCACTCCCTCTGCAGCAACTAGAGACCTGAAATGAATTTGAGGTGAGCTGGTGACCTTCAGAAAAGCCTCATCTGCAGTTAGCACCAACCAGGCCAGGGCAGCTGAGCTGCTCACGCTGGAGGATCAATGGGCAGGCAGGGAGAGAAACCTCCTTTGTGGCTCCTGCAAGGACAGGCACAGAGGTGACAGCCCCAGTACCTGAAGACCTATTTATTCTGTGAGGAGTTGCTAATGCAGGCACTTTCTTGCCACAAGTCACCACAGGAGAGATGAGGAGCCAGCTAGCAACAGGCTTGCTGGCTGCAAATCCTAATCTCACCCCAGCTTCCCGTAAAACAGGAGACCTTCTAGGCTTAGCTGCCTCAATGGCATGTGAGGGACTCAGAGACAGATTTGTCTCTAAGAGAATTGTCTGTCCTGCAGCTCCCGCCTCAGCTCTGCTGTCCCTCCTCAGGGATGAGCACCAGCTACATCTGCCCCTGCAGCTCCCCACAGACAGATCATTTGAGAGGAGCCTCAAAATAAATCCCCAAGGAATATTTTCCACTTGCAAAAGGCAATTCTCTAGCAACATGGCCCTGCCACTACCCTGAGAGCTCAGTAGCGGGTAGCTGGTCTCCCCCCAGCAGACTGGGAGGAGATACGAGCCCTGCCTGTGAGACAGGAGCCATGGGGCTGCAAGGGGGACACAGATACACACATGGGCAAGGGCACAGCCCTGTCAACCAGTTAATCCCATTTTATTGTTTCCAATACAAATGATGTACTGATAGTCCCACCCTGTCAAGCTTTTGGTATGCAACATCTGGCTCTGTTTACAAAATCCCTGACCTCAAAAACAACTGCCCGATGCTGTTCTGTAACGGCACTTTGGTTATCTGGGCTTTAATGAATGACCTTTATGAACAAGGCACGGCACATCCCTCCGCAGATCAAGAAAATCCTCCCTAAGTCCTCCAATCCCATTAACAACAGGATTGTAGGAGCAACGTGACCAAGACGTGCCGTCCCGGCGCGGTGCCTGCAGGGAAACCCGACCGACGCCGCGCTCCCCCCAGGCACTGCTCACACAGCTCCCCCTTTAGCAGCCACGAATGCACGTGGCAACGCTGGCCAGGGCAAGATGACTCTGGCAGATCCTCCCAGCCTGAGGTCTCCTCCTAGTATTTATTACATATTCCTCTCTCCTGCAGCCATCATTTGAAGGCAAGAGTATTAGAAAGGAATGTGTACAGAAGCAATATGGAATTAAATGGAAAAGAGGTATCAGTCTAACACCAAAAAAAAGGAAAAGAAAACAGAAGGAGACATGGACTACAAACAATCAGAAGGCAGAAGCTGCTCTTCCCTGGCAAGCTGAGATGCTTCTCAGGGCTTTATCTTCACTTGGCACAAGTGACTGGCAGGGAGGGAGGCCAGCAAGTTATATTCACTCCCATCAGCACAAGACAAAACCAAAACCTTTAAAAGACAAACACCAACCTTTAACAAAACATGAAGAGACAAGGACCTAGAGTATAATTCAACACCTGAGAGGCTTGCAGAATATCAACACCAGTCTGCAAAGCTTTCCAAAAAAACATTCCTTGTTCTTCTTAGGAAAATCAGGAGGAAATAGGATGGCCAGCCATCCCAGTTGGTGCCTAAACCTTGCGCTTCTTTGCAGCTGGCTTTCCCTCCTTCCCCAGCCACTGCTGCAGAACGTCTGCACTGGTTTTCTTGGGCGAAGGGCTGTGGATGAACTGACTTGTCCACCTGGGCAATTCATTTTCTTTCTTCTGAGGAGAGCTCTCCTGGGAGTTTTTTAACCATCCCAGCATCACTTTGCTGCTTGGGGTGGTTCTGATCTCCTGGAGAGACAAAAGACAGGGGGAGAGAGGTCAGAAGCACAGCAAGAGCAGGGCAGGCAGCCAAGCATGAATGCTGGTCCAGAGCGGGAAGCGGAAGCTGGAGCAACAGCCCTGCCTGTAACTGGGCACATCTGCAGGAGATTCCCCGGGCTGCTCTTAACAGGCTTGTTCCAAGCCCCATTTCACACAGAATTTGCCTCATTTGGCAGAGAAATCCTGGCACAGAGTGACAGTTTATTTCTGGAAGCGAAGGGGAGGGAATCTGTTCAGGACTCTTCGCTCCAGCATCAAGCACAGGCATTCCCTGCAGATGCTGCCTGCTGCTGCCCCTCCTGCAGCCTGGCAGTGCCGTCCATGCTCAGGGACATCACCGTGGCTGAGCTCTCCCCTGCCAAGCTCCTGCCACACTCACCTTCTTGGCTCCCAGCTCGATGGGTGCGAGACACTCGGGTGCATTGTTGCGGATATTGTTGACAAAGGTGGACACTGGGTGGAAAACAATGTTCTCTGTGGGCTGGATGAGCTTAACTGCTTCTTGGGTTGGCACTTCAGCAAAGTCCAGCCATTTCCTGATGGCCTCATCCCCATCCAGGATAGCTGGCATCCTAGGGGACAAGACAGTCAGAGACAAAGTCCAGCATCGATATGGCAGAGCAGGGTGGTAAAAGCCAGGCTCACAAGCTAGCAAGGAGCCGGCAGCTTGGGTGGAAACTGAAGCAGCAAGATGCTCTTCTGCAAGGTAGAGCATGCCTTGGCTCTGCCCAGGTAGCTGCTTTGCTGGAAGAGGCAGAGAGCTCGACTGCCAGGCCCTGGTCAGGCAGAGGGATCCAACCCCGACTGCCACCCACTGGGGCACAGAGATGACGATTTATGGAAAGGGTTGGCTAGTGACCCAAAACG